CACACACACACACACACACACACACACACACACCAACCACAACAACACACACAAAAAAAAAAGGTGCCCCGGTAGCACCCCTCCCAGGGCCAGGGGAACAGCCATTACTGCCAGCAACGTCCAGAAGGGCATACTGAAAAGATGCACGGTACCGGTAGGGGCATATGGAAAATTCTTGTGCCTGTACTGAACAGCTATCCCGTAGTGACAAACTGGAAATTTGGCCCAGGTACTGGTAGGGCCATATTGAAAATGGCTCAGGCCCAAACGATGCCAGGGGCTTTTTGGACACTTGAATCACTGTCAGAGGGGCAAATCAGGGTAAGTCAGCCGTCGGAGGGGCAAATCGCAAATAAACGTGAACTTCAGGGGCATTTCGAAAAATTTCCCAAGAAACAAAAAAAATGCCAATACCAGGAATACCTTTCTCGTATATGGGCCCGAAATACAGGTCCCGAGCCTTGCAGAAATTCTTTTGTCGTCTACTCCAAAAATTTCGGGAAAAGTTATTAAAATTCCCCCCCAACCAGAATACCAAAAGTTATTAAATTCCCCCCCAACCAGACCTTGGTATTAGGTCCACCCCAAACCGCCTTTGTATTCATTCCCACACCAAAAGGGGCAAAAAGTATGGGAGGCCCTGGAGGTCATTTTTCCACCCTGGTGAAGCCTGAAACTGATTTTCCTGCCATTTTTGCACAGCCGGCGAAAAAAAAAAAAAAAAGACATGCAGGCTCCTTCGAGGGAGTCCCAGCCAGACTTTTGGCCCGTTCGGGGTGGAACAAAGGGCCTGGTTCCGCACCACTCGAAACTCACGGATTTCTTGCCCAACACCGTTCCACGGTGCTCTTGAGTTTCTCTAATCACACCCCCCCCCGTGATTAGGTTTCGGGTTTAGCAAATGGGCAGGGCAGGGCAGGGGAAAACCTGAAGGGTGGCTCAAGGGCAGCCCAAGCAAACCTACCCCTTCCTTTTTGGAGTCACCTCTCTGGGCAGGCTTGAGCTGCTGTTGAACACGGAGCTGCAGGTATGTGTAGTGTAGAACCCCCCGATAGTTTTTTTTTTTCTCCTTTTTTTCTTCTGTTTGTTCTCCTTTTTTTCGATGGCCTTTGTACTGGTTGAACCTCATGCAGCAGCACGATTGCCGGTCATTTCAAGCGGCGGACTCTAGGGTTGAGTGGAATGAAACGTGAGTCAGCTACGTATTTTTTAATCACTTTTGCAACTCGAGTGCGCACTCGAGTGTCATGTCAAGTGAAGGGAAGTGGTGTAGAACGAGGCCCAAAGAAGACAAAGGTTTTACCACGGGGTTACTTATTAACTGTTCCCGGAAATTTTGCGGCTCAGGCCTACCGGACAACAATGGTTGGGGCGGAGCCAAGAAAGGAAAAAAATGCGCCTCTGGCGCCATTGGCAGTTCAGCAAAGTTTGGCGCGCAGTGCAGCGTTTCCAGGCCTGGGTGTACTGGTGGTTTATCTCGACTCCCTCCATCATCAGAGTGCATTCTTTTTTAATTTTTATTTTTATACTGTTCCCGTAAATGTTCCTTTCCATATTGCCCATGATAGTACTGGTCGTCCTCCTAGACTGAACATAAGTGTCTTGCTGTAGTCATATTGATAAATGATTGTCCATCAAGAAAATGAAATAAACTATAATACCAATCCGGGGGCCGGAATCCAAAGTTAGCGGGGGTATACACGTACAGGGTGGTCCTAATGGCCCAAATGACGGTCAAGGAGGTCCACATGATGGTCAGGATGGTTGGAATGATTGTGAGGATTGTCCTCAGGCTGGTGATTGTCAAGATGGCCCAAATGACGGTCAAGATGGTCCACCACATGGTCAAGATGGTCCAAATGATGGTCAAGATGGTCCAAATGATGTGGTCGAGATGCGTGCTGTACTGTACTGAGGAATGGTGGGCCAACTGGCCATTGAAAAAATGACTAAAATGACCAAAATGACCAAAATGACCACTGAAAATGGGCAAACTCAACAAAATGACCACCTAAAATGTGCGCTTTGCCCAGAATGAGCAAAATGGCCGTCGAGAATTAGTGAAATGTCCAATCTGCCACCAAAAGTGACCATAATGGCCAAAATTACGATAAGAAATGACAATAACGACCAGCCAAACGCTGGGCTCGGTTCCCAGCACGTGCGGTTCCCCACGAATAGATAGGAGCATTGTCCCAAAAAAAAAAAAAAAAAAAA